CCAGCCTCCATCCAATCTGGCAGTAGTTCAAGTTCAAGGTGGGGTTCCTCACCACCACTTTCATTTTATTTTAAATGTCTCATGGGAAACTTAGACATAACCAGAAGTAGGCAGAATAGTGTACTAACCTCCACTCCCCGGCTTCAAGTTTCTTTATTTATATTTTACCATTCCCACATCTGCCCACAAGATTGTTTCAAAGCAAATTCCAAATATATCACTACCTCTGTAAATATTTCATTATGCAACTCCAAAAGATAAGGCTTCTGCTTTTAAAGCAACCATAATGTCATTATTGAACAAGGTAGGATTTTCTGATGGCAAGGCTAGATGGGAATGTGGAGACAGTGGTGCAGTTTAAATGGAAAATACATTATAAATAATTATAGGTATTGTTTAGTTTTTTAAATCCCCCTAGCAAAAGCTCTTAAATGGACCATGTGTTTACCTTGGGAAGCAAGAGGAAAACTTTAAGACTACTTTCTATTCCTCTGTGGGCCAGGGATGGAGAGGAATTGGAGTCAGAATTAATAGGGAGGAAAAGGGGTAAGAGACCCTCACAATGAAACAAAGGATCTGGTCTTACCCAAAGGTTATTCTACCCACACCGCCTTTCCTTACAAATCTCTTCCCCTGGGCCCCATCCAGATGGAGTCTTTGAGGGTCCCCATGAATCACTGGGGGGAATTATTCTCCCTACTTGGATGGTTTTTTCTTTTTTAGAGACGGGGGTCTTGCTCTTGCTCAGGCTGGTCTCGAACTCCTGAGCTCAAGCGATCCTCCCACTCCTACTTGGATGGTTTTGATAAAAGGTGTCCAATTCTTCCATATTCCTGGCAACACGAGAAGATGTGTTCCTGGCATCCCAAGTTAGAATTCTAGGCATATTTTCCCACAGAAACCCTGCTATATATGGTTAAATTCCATAGTACTTGTATAATATAAATTTAAAAGACTTGTGGAGTTTCCTGAGAACCTAACTACCATATATAACATTACTTTTGTGGGAAACTGCTTTTAAATTTCCAAATAATTGACTTGCAATGAAATTTGGATTCCACACCACCTATAAACTAAAGATTCCAGATGTATTCAGTCTCTCTGATTTAATAATCTTTCCAGATTATATTATGTTTTATTTTTATTTTTTATTCCAGGTTAGATTATAAGTTTTGTAAGGTCAGACTTTATCCTTGTCTTCCTCCACATCTGGCAGTGCGCCCAGCTCATTGTAGAGCACATAGGCACACTCAGTGTAAACTTGTCAATGGATAGATTGGTTTGAAAACTCAGTATTTGTCTGGCTTCAAACTTTTTCCCTTTGTTGCTGTTACTTTTTTTTGAGACAGAGTCTCACTCTGTTGCACTGGCTAGAGTGCCATGGCATCAGCCTAACTCACAGCAACCTCAAAGTCCTGGGCTCAAGCAATCCTTCTGCCTCAGCCTCCCAAGTAGCTGGGACTACAGGCACGTGCCACCATGCCCAGCTAATTTGTTCTATATATTTTTAGTTGGCCAATTAATTTCTTTCTATTTTTAGTAGAGATGGGGTCTTGCTCTTGCTCAGGCTGGCTTTGAACTCCTGACCTTGAGTGATCCTCCTGCCTCGGCCTCCCAGAGTGCTAGGATTACTGGCGTGAGCCACCGCGCCCTGCCATTACTCTGTTACTTTTTTCTTCATTTACAGTGAGAGGTTGCCATCCCACTAGTGCCGTCTGGTGGGTTAAAACAGTAGAAGTATTTGAGAGCAGTAAAAGACCTTGAAGAGAGTGGATTTTTATTTTTAATTTTAATTCATGAAACTTGAATTTGTTCTCTGAGCTCTAGCCTCCTTGTATTTCTGCTGTTTGTGTAGAGTAGACTTTGAAATTAAATGCCATCTTTAAGAAACAATCTTTCCACTGCCACAACTAAACTCTGCTACTGAACTCACCAATAGGCAATAGAAAGGCAGCTAGCTGCCTGCTTCTGATTCTTTGTACTAGTCATTGTTTACCTCTGCTGTCCTCTCTAGTGACTGTCTACACCTGAGAAACACAAGCTGCCTTGACTGATCAATTTCCAGACAGTTTGCAAACTCAACATCAGGTGTGGAAGGACTAGTAGATTTAACATAAATGTTTGTTTTCCTAAAGAAGATAAAAGGTTTTTAAACAAAAAGTTTAAAAGAGGCCAGACACAGTGGCTCACACCTGTATTCCTCGCACTTTGGAAGGGCAAGGTAGGAGGATCCCTTGAGCCCAGGAGTTTGACGTTGCAGTAAGCTATGATGATGCCACTGTACTATAGCCTGGGCAACAGAGAGAGACCCTGTCTCAAAAAAAAAAAAAAAAGTAAGAAAGAAATATGTCTCTATTGTTTATGACTATATTAAATATTCTAGAAAGGGACAGCTATAGGAACAGGACTTTAAAAAAAATTTTTTTTAGGCCGGGCGCGGGTGGCTCACGCCTGTAATCCTAGCTCTTGGGAGGCCGAGACGGGCGGATTGCTCAAGGTCAGGAGTTCAAAACCAGCCTGAGCAAGAGCAAGACCCCGTCTCTACTATAAATAGAAAGAAATTAATTGGCCAACTGATATATATATATATAAAAAAAATTAGCCGGGCATGGTGGCGCATGCCTGTAGTCCCAGCTACTCGGGAGGCTGAGGCAGAAGGATCACTCGAGCCCAGGAGTTTGAGGTTGCTGTGAGCTAGGCTGACACCATGGCACTCACTCTAGCCTGGGCAACAAAGTGAGACTCTGTCTCAAAAAAAAAAAAAGTAATTTAGGAGATCATTATTTTCTAGAACTGAGCTTTTCTGCTCAAGTTGGAAGCAGAACCCTCAATGTAGCCAGAGTGAAGCATCTGGTTTGTAGTTATGTGGCCAGAAAATAAGTAGAATAGGAGCACACCTAGTGCCCTGATCTTGCTTTCCAATAAAAGGAACCAGGGCTCCTTGGAAATAGGACTGCTTCTGGCACTGGGGCAGGAAATATACAAGATGATCCTGGAGCATCTTGTGCTGCAGAAAGATGAAGTGCTAACTTAAAAAAATCACAGTGATTAGGAGTATGTCACATAGATGGTGGAGCCAAGTGAGGGAGCTCCCAGTGACCAAACCTGGAACAGTTTCAGCAACAAAATAAAGTAGTATTGGATTATAATCCAAACTATATGATAAATATCAGTGAGTCCATACTGATATAAATAAATGAAAAAATAAATGGGAGAGGATAGACAAATCTCTAGTGCAGAAGAATTCCAAATAACTTTTGTAGATGCTTAATTGTGAGGTCTGCGTAGTGACTTCCTTGCAAAGAGTATAATATGGAAAGGGGGGAAAAAGAGTAACTGTACAGTGGAGAAACCTGACAAACACTAGCTCAGCCATGGATCCAGGTTAACATCATCCTTGGTGTTAACCATCATCCAGTGGTAAGCCCTGTTGATGGCATGTACCCTTGATATGATGTGATGAGAATGGTACTTTACCTGTGGTCTTCCTACTCAAATCCTACAGCCTCAGTCTAATCATGAGAAGAACATCAAACAAATTCCAATTGAGGGACATCCTACAAAATATCTGAAATATCTGACCAGGGCTCCTCAAAACTGTCAGGGTCATCAAAAAACAAGGAAAGTCTGAAAAACTATGAAAAACTATCGTAGACAAGAAGAGCCTAAGGAGACATGATAACTAAATGTAATGTAGTATCCTAAATGGGAGCTTGTACTGGAAAAAGGACATTTGGTAGAAACTAGGGGAATCTGAATGAAGTGTGGACTTTAGTTAATATGAATGAATAGAATGATTTCAATTTCTCCAAAGGGATCTTAGAATATCTTACTTTGCATAGTTGAGTGAGCACTGGCTTGGGAGTTGTAAACTCTGACATTTAGACCTCTCTGCCATTTTATAACAGTATAACCATTAAGCAAAGCATTACCCTGAAATTGATTGTCCTGTTTCTATAAAATTGGCATAATAAAAATTGCTATTATACTTCCTTCACAGTATTGGTAGGAGATCCAAATGCATTAATATTAATATAAAATACTTTGGAAAACATATAAAGTACTAGATACATTGAGGTAGCTTCAGTTAATTCTTATCTTTCTGAGACCGAAATATTAAGGGTCAGGCATTAGAAACAATTGTTTCCTCTTCATAGCTAAGAGATTTAGAAATTCTGAACTAAGACTTTGCTTATAAGAAAAAAAAATGAGCAAAATTTTGTAGATACCAAATTGTATAACAACTATTGTATTTGTATAACAAATACAATATTGTATAACAACAGTAATAAAAGTTGAGGTTTATTGAGTACTTAGTATGTGCCAAGGTCCTTTTAAGCACTTATTTAATCCTTATTAATAACTCCATGAGGTAGAAGTTGTTATTCCAGCTTTAGAGCCCAAAAAACTAAGGCACAAATAAGTGAAATAGCTTGCTCAATGTCACACAGCTAGTGTAGTGACTCCCTCTCAATAGTAGTGTTCCATTGTAAACATGACGTGTGAGGGTCTGGCAAGGTTAGGAAGAGGTTGAGAACATCAGTGACAGCCCTCTGAGGCATCTAGGCATGTCAGATCAAGATTTATTATTCAGAGAAGTTAAGTCAGCTGCTCCGTAGGGATAGTTGTTTTATTCCTGGAAAATATTTTCCATTTTGCAGCAAATCTATATCTGACCTGCTGAGGAAATCATTTGGTGAAATGAATCCAGAAAGCAGAGAAAATGCTTCATTACTTTAAATAGCAGCATTAAGCCCATTATAGCCTCTGAATTGTCCCTTATTGGAGTTTGCTAATGCTTCCAACTTAGTCATTTGAAGCTCAAGAGTATGATTTTGTATGCCCCTGCCAATGTCCTCGTCTATTGCAAAATGGATAATTATCTATTTGTTTTGGACTATATATTACAAAATCTAAAACATAAGGTCCTATCCACATATTTCATTATTATTAAACCAATATTGTGCTGTTTTGTGATACTTTCTTTTTTTGTTTTCTAGAATTCTTCTGTGGATCTAATAGAATAAAGACCTCTTGAACCCAGTTCCACTGAATTCTTATTTTTCTGTTCAAGTAGAGAGGAATCAGACAAAAGCATTGTTCTTCTTAACTTCCCTTCCTGAGATAGAAGAAATCTCCTGTGTGTATAGATGGAAATGTGGACTTGTTCTGGCACCTCATTTTTTCTCTACATGTTCCATGATGTACAGATCTGGCTAGTTAGGCTCTTGAAGTTAAAAGCTCAGCCTACATTTGGTGTTGTGTTGTTTTAGCTAGCTCTTTCTCAGATGGTCTTGGGCTTTCCCAATATTAATTAATCGACATATGAGATAGCTTAGGCACTACCACATACGGTTGTTACTTCCGAATTATCACTACGAGGTATATGTTCACTGTTCTTTTTTTCAGTGTATCAAAAATCCTTTCAGTTCCACTTCATTTGTGAGATATAGTATGATTGGGTAGAAAGGAAGTTAAGAGAGCTGGTGATATTTTGATTTTTTTGTTCTTTTGGAGGATTTGGTTTTGTTTTTGTTTTTTTGTGGGTTTTTGTTTTGTTTTTTTGAGAGTGAGTCTCTCTGGGCACTGTCATCTGGACTAGAGTGCAGTGGCGTCATCATAGCTCACTGCAACCTCAAACTCCTGGGCTCAAGCTATCCTCCTGCCTGGACCTCCCAGAGTGCTAGGAGCCAGCACCCCCTACCCCCAAGCTATATTTTTTGTAAGAGCCCTCAGATTAGTGATTCTCTCTGTCCCTCCTCTAAATTGAGTAGCATTATCTCAGCACTTCTGGGAGGGCTTTTTAATGAGCCTTCTCCCTATTTCTGAGTCCCCTAGGGAAATTTGATTAAAAGATTTGTTTATCTAGGAAAGTGGGTAATTATATTAAAGGTTTGCCTTGTCTGTTTGTGACCATAAACTAATACTTCTGAGGATGAAAAGTAGGACAAAAAAGATGAGGAGGAGAGGAAAGGAAACACTTTCTCATTTCTCTTCATTTTAACAACAGCACAACTGAAGATCTAGGATGATGCAAGTGCTTAGAAAATGGTTAATGGGAAGCAGAGTGATTAAATGAAAAACATTTTCCCGTTAGCATTGGAATTCTTAAAGCTAAAAGGTCCTTTTAAAAAGTTCCTGTTTTCCTACCCTCCCTGAGCCAAACTGGTCAGATCTTGTCTGAAGGAAAACAGCATTTCCCGCCCAAGTGAAGAGCCCTCATTCCAGCATTATGGCCCTTTCTGACTGCAAAATCACTTGCACTATAATTCCCATTCCTTTTGGAATCCTAAATGATTTTTTCAACTTGACCCAGGGCCTTAACTGGTGTCTCAGACCCTAAATTGCCTGTGGCATGATGCCAACATCCTGGATCACTGGGTCTGTTATTGGACATAATAACAGGCATTAAGATGATGAACAAATCATCCTGGCGTCCAACTTGAATTCTGTTTCATTTCATCAGGAAAGCTGTTTGTCTACAGTTATTGCTCTAAAATCAGTGCATGGTTCTGCCCCAAAAGAATTCATGTACCAGTTGTTGGCTTGAAGAACAGGAATCTGAAAGCCTTGAGGTTTCAAAAGAGTCAAGTTAAGAGTGGCCTTAATTTAGCAGAAGACACTGCAGAAGGATGCTAGGGGATTCCCACTGTAACACTCAGGTTACTCTTTTGAAATAAAGCTCCATGGATGACAGCATTAGTTGAAGGTCAAGCAGTAGAAATGCTTAACCTCTATTTCACATTTACTTCTCAGATGATGCAAGTGCTTAGAAAATGGTTATGAGAAGCAGAGTGATTAAGGGGAAAACATTTTCCCCTCAGTGTTGGAATTTTCAAGCAGTATGTTCAGTTTGGAAAACTGTCCCTTCAGGGCGTCAATAAAGAGAAGTAAAATATTCCATCTAGTGGTCAAAGAAGGGAAAGATAAAATGAGAAGCTTCCAGGACAAGGTTTATGGGGCAGAGTAACAAGGGCAGTGGCCTCTCAGCAAGTGTCTTCTCCAGAAAGCGATAGAACTTGGTCTTCAGTGTTGGTACTCTTGAAATATGCCTGTACTAGATGAGGAATCTGGGACACCATCCTAACCAAGCCACTCAGCGAAACTCCTCACAGTGAACAGTGATCATATTGGCAGGTTATAAACCATCTGATTCTCTGAAGGGAGACCCTCTCCCATTCTCACCTTCATGAAGAATAAGTGAACCCAGTCACTCATGCCTCTAAGTTTTTTGTCTTGTGCTGGAATTTGTGAATATGTGAGTTTGAGAGGAACAAGAGTGTAACATGAACTTTAAAAAGGAGGGAAAATCAATCTACCAAAGGATCAAAAACAAATGTTACTCAACAAGGTAATCAGGAAGAAGATAAGGTACTCTTTGTGTTCCCAGTAACTGCACCCTTTATACCCTTGCTTTCAGTAGAAGTTGACTAAAATGACTTCCTGGTAATTTCCCAAGGTACAGGTCATATTTAATAACCTAGTTGGTCCAGTACCCACAGTGCTAGTGCTTCCTGACTGTAATCCTACAACAACCACCTGTACTCTGAACCAGAGGGCCCACTATCTTTTCTTCCTGTACCTCCCATTATTCCTTCTTTCCCCCAGTTCTGGGGAAGAGCTATAAAGCAATAATACAATTCACATTTCCTGCAAATCCAATTGCCACTGCAGACCTTAATCAGAGCCTGCTTTCCAGGCAGTAATTAGGGTGTCCCTTTATTCAGAGCCTCCCTCTCCCAAAGCTTAGCATGCTACCAGCTCCTCTGTCCCACCTTTGTCAAGGAAGAAGACACAGGGAGCCTGGCTGTTTCCACACCTGCCCTTTATTGGACTCAACTAGCAGGGTGGCTCCAGGCCATTCACGCTTCTCAGACACCATCCACAAGGGTTTAGGAAGGTGTCATCATTCTGTGAAGACCCAGAGCCCACCCAAGTCTTGGAGCCCCAGGTTGAATCACCAGCCAGAGGGTTAGGAGAGGAAAAGGAAACAGGTGGATGGGAAAGGCAAGGCTCTTCAATGAAGGAGGCTGATGTCAAGGGGACACTTAGGTCCAGCAATGTCTCCTGAGGGCATGCCCAATCCTAAGGAAGGTACTGGATGGATGGGAGATGTGTGTGTTGAGCTGCCCACACCTATATGGCCACTTTGAGGAGGCGCCTGATGTCAGGCTCAATGTTGATGGTGTGGAAGGTGCGGCTGTAGCGTCGGAAGGGCTCCCCCTCCGGCCCTATGAGGAACTTCTCAAAGTTCCAGGCCACATCTGAGCGGCGCACCGGGCTCCAAATGATGAACTTGGGATCGGTCATGAGGGAAAACGGGTCATCGTAAGGGTAGGGGAGCTTGTCCTTCAGGTAGGCGAAGACAGGATGCTCGTTCTGCCCATTCACCTCACACTTTTGGATAAGGGTAAAGGTAGGCTGGTATCCACCCCCAGGGCGGACAAACTTGAGACTGTTCAGGATCTCCTCATTTTGACAGTTCTCCTGGGGGAGGAAAAAGACAAAGGCATGGAAAAGGGAGGGGGAAATAAAGGATGGACAACATGCATATCATTAACCCTCCTACACTCCCTTCCCAGGATCATTCTCTTCTTTCTCGGTGTGTATGTGTCTCTTTCTGCATGTGCTTTGCCCTACTCTTGACTTGCAGTTTTCCCTCTTACAGTTATTGTATGATGGTTTGCTAGTCCATTTCTCAAAGTTCTTACAATTCCTAGCTTAGCTGTTCTTATACTTAGAAATTTAGCACTTTTGAGCTGTTGCTTCTATCTCCAGTCTACCCTGAGCAGTTATTAAGGTGTTTGAAGCTTCGAGGAACCTTGAGTTCGGTGCAGAAGAAAGAAAAGGAAAGGAGGCAGGTCATACTGCCTGGAACCTCCGCTTGGACTCACCTACCTGCCTACTCATATAAACATACACACACACACACACACACACACACACACACACACACCTTCCCTTTCCCTCTGCCTTGGTTTGGCCTCTTATGCTTCCAATTACATATGTGTGAGTACAACTTTTGCCTGTGCCCTACTCAGCTCCTCAAACAAAGGGTGAAATTGAGGCCCTGAGGAATGCAATGTACAGCTTCTTGCTTTCATCTTGCCTTGTCCTAGAACTGATGTGCAAATGGGAGGAAGCTCTGATGAAGGAAGACCACACCCAAAGAAGTCTAGTTTCCAGGTGCCATGAACGCAAAGCAAGTTAGACACAACAATGAATGTATTTTAAATGGAACTACTTGGTGGCCAAGAAGAGTGAATTAAATAGGATAGAGGGTTTTGGGTTCTGGAATAGGCTAGAGAGATGGGGAGTGGAGGAAATAAGTGCTTGATGGCTAAAGGTTGTGAATGTGTAATATTCCTTTCACTTCTAGGGTGCTATCCAGAGACTCCTGTATCACATAGCCATTCACCGTATTCAGCTGTGAATGCTTCAGCTCAGAACCTGTTCCCTGGATTCTTTGCCCAGTGCCATCTCTGTCCTATCCCCATCTCAGCTTTCCCCACCCCTGACAACCCCAAAGGCCTGTAGGAACCCTTATTTTCCATCCCCTTCTACCTAGTTTGAGTCAAATAGCTCCCTCTGGGAGAAAGTTCCTGTCTCTAACCAGTAGAAACGATTAGTACAGTCATTTCCAAGCCACCATGACATGAGCCCAGAAATGATCTTTATTAGACTTCCTATTCCTTAATGCAGATGGCTGGCTGGATCCTGGTAGGCTATAGACTCCCTCTAGCAACTTGGTGGCCTGAAGAGATGGTGTAAGGCTGGCGGCACTTCTAGGGTACGAGGCAGACCTCTCAAGAGGTTCTGCCCGTTCTGTCTCTCCTGCTCTAGCAAAGGCTAGAAAGAGAACCGAGACAGGGAAAAAAGAGTGAGAGCAGTTAATAGTTTGGGCTCAGGTTTGTCAGAGCCAATGATACTTCAGCCTTCCTGCTTACATCTCTTCCTTGCCTTCATACCACTGTGAATTGAACTTAAGGGGATTATTATTAGAGGGTTCACTTGGGGACATTCTGCCTGCTTGTACAATTAAAA